GTTCGATATTTTATATTCTTGTTGTTAGTTTGTAGAGGATTCTCGATACTGTTCCTGTTCTCAACTGTTGAAAGTTTATGTTTTTTATGTTCTTGTACTCACTTGTAAATACTTCTCAGCGTTTTACGTTTCTGTTCTCAACGCGTGGAAGTTATGTACCTAAGCTTATGGATCTTACTCTGAGTTTTGTGTCCAGTTCTTGAACTTCTGAAGTTTCTCGGTATCTCATGTTCCACTGTTCTCAACTTATGAAAGTTTCTGATTGATTTATGTTTATGTCCTGAACATGCCAAAATATTATGTAACATCTGAAAGATTATCATTGTGTTGATCTTACATTCTCAACCATGAAACATATATGTACTTCGTGTTTTTCTGATTACTTCAAAATTGTTGTTTTTTAATTTTATTATATTACTATTTAACACGCCTGAAATATCTTCTACTTTTGTCTTTGTAGTTTAAAAAGAATAAATTATTTGAACAATTTATTTTCCAAAATGTGGCCCAATATTTTGGTCGCTGAGCATGTGAAAGATTTACTGAAGCCATTTTCGCTTTCAATGTACGAAATATTTTTTCTTAAACAATTACAGCATTCTTATACTTTATTTTTCTATCTTTCAGGCATACAGGCTTGAAACAGGCCCATTATTACGTTTAACTGTACATTCGACGTTTTCCATTTACAAAATGTCCAGTCTGAGAAATAATTATCAACAATCAACAGTAAATATTACGATTACGAAGTTCACACAGTTGTCGTTTTTTTTTACATCATAGACTATAACAACTGTGCTAAACAGGTTTTCATATAAAGCTTGTTCTTTTTACCAAACTGTATCAAACTCAACATTTAATTTCCCTTAGATTCTGATCATGTTTAAACGCAATCTGTGACATACTACAACGTATACAACAGCCTTCTGTAATAATACACGTACATTCCAGGTGTAAAGAAAAGCGAATGAACAAAACGGTCCGGGACATAAAACGAGGCTGGCTGTTTGGACGACGGGTTTTGAGTTTTTGTTCACGACCGTCTGCTTACATAATTCCTGCTCTACCCAGCCCAGACGCTATGACGTAACACGTCGTTACTCAGAAGGGAGTCCTATTTTGTAGCGTTAAGTTGTCATGGGTGTCGGTAGAAAGTTTAGGTTGAAAACTAAATTCTAGCCTAAATATTTAGAATCCAAAATAAATGTAAATACAGTATCGGCACTTTATAACAGGACTTATATTCTTAACAGCGTACCAAAACGTTTTATTTCATATATTTTAAAAACGTTTTAAGTGTTAAACTTAGCACTTAAAGTTTTATTTCATATATTTTAAATAATTCTGCCTAAACCCAATTTACCAGCTCTTTTCAGTGCTACTAAGTTTATTCTGACGAGTACTCATTCAATGAGAGACTACCTCAAAAAATGTGCTATTAACATGTAAACGATTTAAATTATCTCCACCTACTGTCAGTCTCTCTCATTCGAATAAATGTAGTTTATCATATCTTACCTTATTACTGTTTAAACCAAACTTTCATCGTATATTTTCCAGTAGTTTGACATTACTAAACTTTTCTAATGTCCAATATATAACATTTATAAAAATTCTCCATTCATGTCAACATGAGTGTTCCAAAACAAAGACATATTTTGTGTTTGTTTTGTGTTGTTGTTATAGTTTTCCTTCTCCATTCATGTCAACATGAGTGTTCCAAAACAAAGACATATTTTGTGTTTGTTTTGTGTTGTTGTTATAGTTTTCATAATTTCAATAGCTCGTCAGGAAAACTATAACAACAACACAAAACAAACACAAAATATGTCTTTGTTTTGGAACACTTATGTTGACATGAATGGAGAAGGATTGATGACGGAGAAAGAAAGTTTCCTGAACACTTCAGTAACACAGTTAAATAATAGCTACTGTTACCTCCTTCCAGTGTTGTGATTAGTACTCCTATTTGTTAGATCGCATTTTAATAGTACTGGCTAAAGCAGAAACAGGAAAACAAGCTACATTTTAATGGTACTGGCTGAGATAGAAACAGGAAAACAAGCTACATTTTAATGGTACTGGCTAAGGCAGAAACAGGAAAACAAGCTACATTATAATGGTACTGGCTGAGGTAGAAACAGGAAAACAAGCTACATTTTAATGGTACTGGCTGAGGTAGAAACAGGAAAACAAG